TTGTAAGATAATTTTGAAATATAACAATAAAAATAATTTTAGTAATGAATCGATAAATATATAAACAAATAAATGAATAAATAAAATTCAAATGATTATTGAGAAACAAAATAATAATAAATAAAAATAAATAACAATAATATAAATAGTATAACCGGTAAATAAATGATATTTAAAGTTAGATTAAAACGGGTAGAATTGCATGACGTTAGCAATATACCGGATGGGTCCGGATATTGTGAAACGTATGATTGTAGTCGGGTAATCTTATAAATAATAAAATGATGATTGCATTTACTGAAGTCTTCGATGTATGATAATCAATCCGGATCGATTATCATACCGCGGTGACGTGTTTGTGATTGTGGCGATCTTCGTATCGCGCCACCGTTTTCTGATAAACGGTTATGGCATCCAGAGACTCACGCATTCGGGTTTGCGTGTGTCACTCGAATGCGTGACGAGGAAGTACGGTTCTTTGGCAACCGCGCCAACGTTCCATTGGCCATGGAACGGACTTCGGGTTTGCGTGTGTCACCCGTTGACTGGCAAATAAACCTGAGACCCGGGTAGTTGCGTGTGTCCCCCGGCGAGGTGGTACGGATATACTCTGAAAGATTTGAGCTCGAGTCTGATGAGTATTTTTCCGAGGCGGATGGTCGGCGAGGGGGAGTTAGCATAGAGCTGCTTCGCCCGGCAGTCGGCGGCATCGGGGATCGATGTCTGGAGTGGGTATGGGATGACCGGTACCGAGAGCCGTGATATCGGTGACCGATGAGGAGTATGAAGATCACTTGAGGTCCTCGCAAACGATTTTTGCTTGGACTGTTGCGCCTCGTGTTCGACACAGGCATGAACGAGTTGTTGTATTTACCTACGTGTGATATACACGTAGAGACGATTGACGGACATTGTTTGAGAATTGCTGATTGATTCAATGATGATTGATTTTATTGAAATATCCCGTCGCATGTATATGTATATTATTGACTATATTGCTTGGCCGTTTTCAATAAAAATAGAAATCTCGGGTTACACCCGAATTCCTCCCTAAGCACGTAGCTTAGGACGTTGTTATGCAACGTTTCAGGTCGTGAGCAGCAACAGTGACTGAGGCAGACACGGGACCCGGTGACAGCTAGACTTCCTGATCATGTATAATTATCTTTAACGCATTCTGTTTTCAAAAATAAAGAGTGGTGATCTTCGAACTTTTTGTGTTATAGTTTTCACACCACTTGTATTATGTACTGGTACCGTTCCAAGCGTGTGCGAACGTATTGATGTATTTTATAATGTCTTCCGCTGTATTATATTTAAAATGGATCGTTTTAACTTTCCCGCGAGTTTATATTTCAAAATTTTCCGATTGTGATTTTATTGTCCACGTGGCACAACCTGTAAGCGGGATACGGGGTTACGGGTGTCACAAATAGCATATTTTCTTTTCTCTTACAAGTCATTCCCTTACTAGTTGTTCCTTACATTTCTTCACATTGACATGTTTTATTTTTGTTTGAGATCTTCTAGATATTAAATCTTCATTTGATACTCTTTCCAACATTAACATTTATCATAAAATTGTTTTGTAGAAATTATTTATATTGGAACAATTTTATTTTAATATTCAAACTGTTTATGTGTCATATATTTTAAGATTTAACTTTTTCGTATTTTAATCTTTTGATTTTTTTTTGATATATTGGGGAACCTGTTGGATTGGGCTACGGATTCCTAGCATGCGATCATATGGATCTAGGGTTTGGTTTACTAGGTTTCATGCAGCGGAAGGATAATCTAAACCTAGTCAAACGTCACACGTAACCAAAATCATTCGTAAAACCCCGTTTAGTCGTGTATATCACCGTAGGAATCGAATCCTTACCTCTTTCCTGAAGATCTGAAAATAGCAATCGATCCATGGTCTGTTTTAATCACCAAGAGCTGAAAGTACAGCTCCTCTACACGTATCCACACCGACGGGAAGGATTCCAAACGCTTTTGGAACTGATCTGCTAGGATCTGTGAAGTGAATAGGGTTTTCAAGACTTGGGATCGAATCCCTAGAACTAGAACCTCAAAAGGAACGATTTTCTTGTGTTCTAGATCTGTCTTAGGGTTCTGTAAGTTGAGTTCTCTTCTTAGGACGGCGTCCAACACCTCCTTATAAGATAGAAACCTTAATCCTTGTGAAAAGAGACTTTTTCCGAGTATTGACTCGGTCCGAGTCAGAACTCTGACTCGGTCGAGTCAGAACGAATCAGCACAAGCCCATTGCCAACTCTTGACTCGGCCCATTTAGTATTGACTCGGACCGAGTCAAAACTTTGACTCGACCGAGTCAAAACATCATCCAAGCCCAAAACACTTTCTGGGCTTCGACCCGCATGGAACTGACTCGGTCCGAGTCAAATACTGACTCGGTCCGAGTCAGAAGGCTGAAAACGTCCCGACACTCTGATTTGATCCGAAAACGATTTTTCCGACCAAATCCAAGTCTTCCTTTCCGAAACTTCACATATAAGTCCATCCCTAATGGTGTGTGACCTTGTAGGCCCATTCGCAGTGGCAGCAGCCTCGAGAACCATTCCCGATCTACAAGTCATGGTTAGCCTCTAGCAAGACGCCATGACCACCCACGTTGAATTGAGCTAGAGGTGATCTAACCAAGGCAATAACAGCTCGAGTTCTGATCCTTTATCTCACGATATCATAAGTTGAACAAGGGCATGGTGTGAGCCACCCTTCAAGTTCAACCGCTTTCTCGTCTTGGCAAATCAACTAATAAAATAGATGCAACTTCATCTATAGCGTGGCCACGCATTTTCATAGTCCGACTTCCACGAGAGGGCCCAGCGATATCTCTCCTATTGAGGAGGTGACAAGTCCCATATTGCATGTCCATTATCTCCATATGATTCGTGAACGTATCTGATCAACGCCGTTATAATCATCCGGTTAAAGACGACGTTTGACGCAGTCAAGACACGCCACTCCTCATATCAGATACTCTAGACATCTCAGGTCTAAGGATCCAAGAACGAACCGATGTATGAGATTCAAGTCATGACTCTGTCCATGTGACAATCTCATACGGGTCA